ATATAGTTTTGAGAGTGTATGGGTTAGCATTTGGAGTTTTATGTTTCATTTTGTATATTGAAAAAGAATACTATTGAAAATGGACAACAAGAGAGGGTATTTTTGTAAAAGTGTACATAATAACTTATTTTAGCAAATATCCTGAAAATAAATACAACTAAAAGATTAAAAATTTTAGTTACTAATAACTTATCCTGCAATGTAACAGTCAAAATCTAGTTTCAAGTATTTATGTACGTCATGATCTATGTTACTAGGCTTTTAGCATATCTTGTGTATGTATACTTGGAAGAATTTGAAGTTGATGTGGGAAAGCCATCATTGCCCCGTCAATAGCAATAGTAATCTAATCCTAAGTTAATCAATAAATTAAAATCGAGTAATTTATCAGTTTGTTCTAATCTTTAAGTAAAATATTTTAGTTTTTGTTTGATATTTTTGTGGGTTTATTTTTCATAATGTCTTTTCCATTTTACATAATATATTTAATTATTTTTTAAGTTTATGACATTCTTATATGTTTTGATCACTTGTAGTCAATTGTCTAGAGATTTTTTCTATAAGTGTTATTCAAATCTTTAGCCATATCCAGATATATTTCCAAAGATATGTTATTCAAATATTTAGTCATTTGCAGAATCTAGTTTTATTTTTTACTTTTTAAAGTTTGTGCATGATCTTATATATATTGTATCAACATGTACATAACCATTACACACATCACTTTTCATTTTGCAGATTTCATTTTGATTATATCATCAAAGATGTCAAAGACCACTATCATTGCTATCTTCATGGTAATCCTTGTTCTAGGTTCGATTCACACTTTAACATTATATAACAAATATTTAACAGGTACTTTTATTTTCATAACAAAATATTTGAGATTATGTTTATATATCTCTATTAGGGCTCGTGCCAAAGGAGACTCAAGGACAAGAATTGTGTCATGAATATATTAATGGAGCAGTAGCATGTGAAGCAAAACTATGTAGGGAGCTGTGTACTTGGAGGCACCCAGGTGGAAATGGAGCTTGTATGCCATCAAGCAAGCAATGTGTTTGCTCTTTTAGTTGCAATGCTTGATTTTTGTTTTTACTTTCTATAAACCACATATTCTCAATACTAATAATAAAATAATTAATTTTAATAGTTTTGATGTGTATGTGAAATATGATTTCAAATATTTGGCATGGTCTATAAATTGGTTATATAGCATATGTGTCCTAATTTATATGTTAAATATCGACTGGCCGATCAAGCATATATTTGCTGGAAATATATGATTGTCGAGTGCATAATTTTAGATTTTGTAGAACAGTTTCTTGAAGATCTAAAAGAAATTTGAAATTTACAGTAGGATGTCCAAATGAACTTTCAATCATATTATTCTTCTTCTTAAATTAAAGATATGTACAACGTATGGTAAAGATTTCTTCAAGAAAACAATGAATTCAGCTTGTTATAATGCCCCAACCGTCACCTCTTGTGATATGCCCTATGTCTACTCCCAGCCCATGGGCCTAACTTCCTTATTTGGTCTGCCTCGTGATCTCGTGGGCTTAACCCTATTCGACAATCGATTTGCTACTTCCCAGAAGCTATAATATTTGTTACAAACCCTACAAATCACCACATGATCTTTTTCTATGTTTTATTATCACTCGTACAGTTCTAATAATCACTTCCTAGAATGTCACCCATCCTACAACTCTAGCTAGCATAAGCACACTTTACTCTGGTGTTCTCTAAATATCTTTGAACAAAAATATAATTATACTTTAGTGACATAGTTGGCTAAATTAATTCTTTTCAACCTCTTTGTATACACGACCATATTAACCTGAAACCGAGGTATCACAAGATGACGGATATTCTTGCTGCTACAGCATGGAAGAAGATAGGGAAGCATGCCGGTTATATGACTGATCTTAGGCTTATCAAGGGTATGATTTGTTAGGATGGGTAAGATGGATTAGGTGGAATCCATGGCATTTTCCTTGGTTGTCGCCTTCTAGGCTACTTTGTTTTTAGTCGTATGGAGTACTGTTTAGAGCTAGGGTTTTCGTGGCCAAGAAAATCTTGAAGAGAAGCTTAGGTCGTGACATTAGGATTGGTATCGGTCGACACCAGCACCTACTATCACAACCTGCCCCGTGGACCCCACGCCACAACTTGGCAACAGCAGGCGCTGCATCGTGATTAGTGGCTCAGGTTTGTGTGTGGACCATTGCTAAGGTGATGGAATAATATTTTTTACATATGGACTATGTGTTCAGATTTTATGACGAATCTATGTTACAGGGAGATAATTGTAACGCCCATGAATTAGAATCGGCTATGGGGCTTGGTGCTGACCAACACCAAGGGGTGTTGCTCAGCACAGTGAGCCAAAGATGGTTTTGATTTGGTTCAATATCAAGTTTTCTGTGGTTTCTTAAACTAACATCCATGCATACCAAAATCAAAGATGGTTTTGATTTGGTTCAATATCAATATAAAGAGGAAGACGCCTCAATCTATTTAAGGGTTCTCTTGCCATCTGTTTTCTTGTTCAAGAGGGCATAAGAGAGATTTTGGTATGCATGGATGTTAGAGAGGAGAGAAGAAGGTTACAGAGACGTGTTTTCCTAATCCAAGATGGGTTTTTTGAGGCAACGTTTCAAGGACGATCTAGCTAAAAATTAGTGGGATGATATGTAGTAGTATAGAAATAATATCTGACAATGTGTTTCTGATTGAAACGGTTAGTTCGTGAACTAACAAGGTACTAATGTGGATATTTATCATGAATTATTGATTAGTTGCATGTTGCATTGTTGGTTGGGTAACGAGCTCGGTTTGAGATGAAGTCTTATAGAAGTTTCCATGGATAATTGAGTTAGGTGTAGGTTGATGGATAACCAAGGTCAAGCTCCAGAGTGTAGGGTTAAAGCTAAAAAGGTGACTCGGATGGTGCCAAAGTCCATGGCTAGAGCGGAATCGAGTAGTCCACTCCATGTCTCTTGTTACTTGGTTGCGTAGGGTTGATTGGTTTTTCAACTATGTACCAATAAGAGGTTTCGTTTGGAATACGCTGTCAAGCGAAGCTTGTTTCCCGGGATGGGTGAGTCAAGTGTCTTGATCAGACGGATGAAAAAGTGGTCCGGTAGAGGAGGAGTCAAAGTTAGCAAATGGTTGAGGCGTTTGTTAAGGTAAGTACGTTTGTATGACTATTTTTGATTGTTGCACGGTTTGGTTTAGTTGGATCTAGATTGAACTCGTGGAAGCTTTTGTAATTAATGATGGTTGTCTCGTGAAATTTATGGAATTCTAGTGAGATCGTTTTCCGTGCGTAATGTGCAAGAATTGAGAATTCGAATTGAGGTGTTTCAGTTTTGTATTATAGCGTACGTATGCGATTCTAAGATAGCTTTTAAATGGAATAGACTTGTCTAGGTCTATTAAACGATTGACATGCTAAGAAAAAACATGGAAGTGTTGTCGAGGTACGTGATCTTAAAGTGATTAGTGGCTCAGGTTTGTGTGTGGACCGTTGTAACAATGATGGGATAAGTTTCTACATATGGACTTTGTGATCAGATTTGATAAGGAATCTATGTTAGAGGGGAAAAAATTTAATGCCCATAAATTACAATCGGCTAAGGGGCTTGGTGTCGCTCAACACCAAGGGGTGTCGCTCAAAAATGTGACTCCGACTATGTTTGTGGTTTGGTTTGTTCTCATTTTGTTTGCTTTTTAACGGTTTCGCACAAATCCTAAACTATTCTCCATGAAAAGAGGACGTCTCAATCTATATAGGGGTTCCCCTCCCAGCTGTTTTCCTACCCATGAGTGAAAAAGGGGATGTTAGGGAGGAGAGAAGATGGTTACAAAGGATGGAATGAAGGAGAGTTGTGTTTTTGTGGCGTGGAAGAGGAGAGGGAAGCATCATTGGTTGTGTGTGGTCTTGCTCCTTACCAATATTTTTCTCCTAATCCAAGGTAATTGAGAATTCTTAGGCTCATCTAGGAGTGATTGTTACGGATTTGTGATGGGTAAGTTAGATTAGGAGGAATTCATGGGTTAATTCCTTGGTGATTGCCTTATGGGGCTACTTGGTTTTGTGGTTATTTTTATGGGAAGTGAGAATTGTGGGGACTTAGGGTTTTATGGGCAAGTGGAGCTTGAAGAGAAGCCCTGGTCGTGACATCAGGGTTGGTGTCGCTCGTTAACAGCCCCTATAGAGGGACTGCGTAAACTGGTCTGAGATGGTTGTTTTGAGCCAACGTTTTGAGGATGATCTAGTTAAAATACAGTGGGACGATACGTGGTACTATATGACTCATATCAAACAATTTGTTTGCGAAGTGAACGGTTAGGTAGTGAACTAATAGAGTGTTAATGTGGAGATTTTGTATGAATTGATGATTTGTTGCATGTTGAATTATTGGTTGGGCCAACGAGCTTGGTTTGAGCTAAAATCTTGCAAGAATTTCCATGGATCATTCATTTAGGCTTTGGTTGATGAAGAACCAAGGTGGAGCTCCATAATATACATTTAACGCTAACATGGTTCATCGGAGAGGCAAAGTCTGTGGCCGGAGCATAATGGAGTATTCCAACCCATCACTCTTCTTACTTGTTCACTTATAAGTGGTTGGTTGTGCGATTAAATACCAAGATGAGGTGGCATTTGGGATACGTGGCCAAGCGAAACTTGATATGGGAAGCGGAGTCGAGTGGCTTGATCACACGAAGTGTTCCAATATATGAGGAATTAGAGTCAGTGAATGCTGGAGGCGCTTATTAAGTTAAGTCAATGTCTGATCGTCGCGTTGTTTTTGTCTGTTTGATCTAGCCTAAACTTGTTGAACCTTTTGCAAGAAGTTGAATTCGCGCATGTTGTCTTGTTGAAATGTATAAGCGGGTTCCCGTAGGCATATCAATCGGGCTGGCCCGGCCTGGCCTGAAACCCGTAAAGCCCTTATATATTTGAGTCCGGCCCGGCCCAACCTGAAAAATATCCGAGCCTATATTTTAAAACCCGGCCCGGCCCTTATAAGGCTACAAGGCTTTTCAGGCTTTTCGGGGTTTACTTACGGATAAAAAAAATCAACTTCTAATTTCATAATAGTTTAAAAAAAAATACTTAAAGGTATACTATAAAAAGAATGCATCAAATTCTAAATAACTTATCAATATTCATTAATACTAACTTAATTTAAGAGATAAAATGAAAACCAAATAAATTGTTTACACTTTAACCCAATAAAATATGAAACTAATATACTTTAAAGTAGATGATAGAGTCAAAATTTAATATTCTTTGATAATTTCAAAATCAAGATACTTATATATACTTAGTTGTAGCTTTGTTCAGTTTTGACATATATAAATAATTGAAAATGTCATAGATAGTAAGGCTAGTAAGTAAATATGAAAACTTATTCATTAATCAAATCTTCTAATTAAACTAAAATATTCAAAATATTCAAAATATATTTGTTTAAGGGCTTTTCGGGCCGGCCCGATATCGACCGGGTTAAGCCCAGAAAACCCTTTAACCCGAATGGGTTTAGCCCAAAAAGCCCGATTTTTTATGAACAAATATATTTAATCCCAAGCCCGATGATTTTCTGGGCCGGGTCGGGCTAGCCCGCAGGATTTAATCCTAATTGACATGCCTAGGTTCCAGTGAGAACATTTTCCATGTGTCATGTGCGAAGATTGAGAATTCGGGTCAGGGTGTTTCACATACCATATGTAAAACAAAATAATTAAAAACCACATATCACATAAACCAAATACGTACAATATATTTGCACAAATGTAAAATGACAGTTTACGTAGATATTTAAATCATTTTAATTTTAATTAATAAAAAGGAAAAAAAGGAATTGTTGACTCCTTATAATATGATTTTTTCTTATTCTTCATTTCCTATTTTCACCTCCTCATCTTTCTTCTTTTAGGTGTCTATATTAACGGTGAAAAAATAGTACACGTTTCCCGTGTGATATAATTCCTTATATGTATTGTCTTTTACCTAGTAATATTCATTTGTTGATACAAACTTGTATATAAAACTGCAGAGAAAAGATTATTGAAATCAAACTAAAAGAAACACACCCAGAAGAGCACCACAGAAGCTATTATTCCAGAGATTAGGCTATCTATTTGTTAACCGAAGCCAAACAATTCAAACACTGGTCAGCTGGTATAAAAATCAGGTACACATTTGAGTGACTATAGGAGAGATCTAAGTTATATATGATTACCATACCTACTCCATATGCAACGGGTACTAGATTTCATACCTGTATTTTCTTTCACTTGTAAATCATCTTTCATTTCATTAAATGTTATTTCACTAATAATTCATTTATCATGTTGATTTTAACACTTTTTCATTAATCCTTATGATTCGATAATGTGGGTGAAAAACAAATCTATAATAAGATATCTAAAATCTCTGAAAATCTCAAATTTTTATTCTGTCTGCATATGAAAGTTGTGGACCAATGATATGTTATCGTAGCAATTGAATGAAGTATTGATGAGAAAAAATAAAGACGATGTTCGATTGTTTTCAAATTTTAGTGCGAAAGAAACAGAGATGAAGCGGATAAAGAAAGATGAGACTGAAGATAAGCAAGTGAACAAGAAAGAAAAGATAGAATGGAGACGAGAGATTTGTGCATATTCAGTTGGCAAATGTATCAAGGTTACTGGTGGAGGAGAAAATCGTAAATGTTACTATGAGACATTCCAGTTTCGTGGCACCCAATATAGTCTGGTGAGTTTGTTTTGTTATAAGATTTTGGTACTTAGTTTTTAGGGATTGCTATTTTTTTTTATCAATTTGTATGATAAAACTAACACGGTATTTGTAATGAAAAGATTATGTTATGTCTTGTTAATTTTTCTGGTAGTAACATTTACATTAGATTGTACTCTTCTTTTTCGTAGGAGGACACAGTGCTTTTGGCTCCGTATGAGTCAAAGAAAACCAACTATATCGCATTGATCAAGGTAAAGGGATGTAAGGTTCTTTTATATATACGATTTATGTTGTTCATATCACAATCAACAATAAAAATTTATCTTTTCAATTGTTTGTTGAACAGGATATTTATGTTAAGAAAAAAGATGGATTTGTGAAGATCTTGGTGCAATGGTTTTATCGCCGAGAAGATATTAAAATAAAACATGCTGGAAAGTGCAAATCTGGAGACTCGAAGGAAGTTTTCTTCAGTTTTCATAAGGATGAGCTATTTGCTGAATCTGTGAGAAGCAAATGTCTTGTGTATTTCTTGCCAGATGATAAGCAAACTTCAAACCGTACTCAGCCTCCTGACTTCATCGTGCAAAAGGTTTATGACAATATCAATAATAAGTTGAGGGAGCTCTCTGACAAAGGCTTTAATGTGCATCAGAAGTTTGAGATTACCACTCTCGTGGCAAAGACGATTTCAAGAATTGGTGATTCCTCTGACATTAAGAAAGTCTCAGTGACTAGAATGTCAAAGAGTGAAAGATCTGTAAGGAAAAGAGATGTCTCAGAAGCTGAGATAGTGAGTTCTATAAACAATAATGAGGTTAATTTGTTTGCTTATAAGTCGGCCAGTGATTTGGACCGTGACAAGATAGTCGGTGAGCTTTTGCAAGCACTACTTAAGCACATATGTTGTGCAAGTAAGGAGAAGGAAGATGGTATTAAGTTTGTGTCATCAGATAATGTTGTTCAGGTGGTCTTGTCTCTTGAGGAGGCTTTATATGATTCTTTTGCAGATGATATACCAAAGTATAATTACAAGTTGCAGCTTCTAATTGAGAAATTCAAGGTTAGTTTAACTTAATTCCTTCTTTTCTTCATTTTTTTACTGGGTCTTTTTGCATGATCCAGCTAATTAAGCTTTATAGTAAGATTGTATAACATTAGAAATTGTGTAAGGACCATTGAACTTAGCTTTTGTTTATTTCTTTCTTCTTTACCTTTGATTTGACTCTTTAATTGTGATATTCTTATTATTTGTTTGTAGAGCTCACAAGTATTAGTTGAAAGAATTCTCAAAGGCGAATTGAAACCTGAACAAGTTACAAAGATGCAGGGCTACGAGCTAATCATGGTAATTTACCTAATTTCTTTTGATGAAACTAGAATGTTAGTCTTAAATCTCTTAGTGTTTATCTTGACATGTTAAAAGTGATTAAGATTAGGATTTTCTTAAAACTCTTGATGATGAAACATAGGCTGATTTTGAAGAACCAAAAACAGTGGAAGATGCTGCTAATGATGTCGAGAGGACATCAATACAGTGAATTACTAATCATCAAAGTATGTTTATTTTGTTACATTTTATATTTTCTTTAATTTATTTTAGATATTTTATAATTTTTTCTTATTTCTTACTAAAGTGGCAGAGCTCAAGATTCCAAGCTCATCATTAAAGGCTCACTGGACTACACAGTTGCATGGATCTTTTCTATTTGTTATTTCTGAACTATGTTTTTGAGTTCTATTTATGTTTCTCCTATTTTCAATACTTTGGTTTTTGTTTTGGATGGTTTAATTGATTTTAAGGATTTTTTGAATCAAAATTGCAAGAATTTTATTTGATATTTATTATTTAATCCATCGTTAATACTCGAAAGTTTTACAAAAAAAATTATTGTTGGCATTAAGCTATACTCTATAAGAACTATTATAAACTCAACTTAAAATTCCAATAGGGTTCATATTATACTAGGATTGGAGCCATGTTTATTTAAGCTTAGAACATATATTTAGTTGTAAAACAAATCTGAATAAAAGAACAAATAATAACAATTGGACTCAAATGAAATCATTGACTAATTGGTCGATGCTCTGCATTAAATTGGAGTTTCTTGTTAGATATGTATCCAATCTATCCTGAAAAGATAAATCAAAGTGAATAACATAAGAGTAAGGATAGAAGTGAAGAGCTCAACGCAACAAATGTAGAGAAAGAGAGAGATAAAGCTACTACCTGGTAATGGGAGGTATTGGGGCATTCACAAGCAAAATGGCCTCTTCGTTTACATTTGTAGCATAAACGCTGTGAGTCTCTGCCCCGTGAAGTGCTTATTATTCTCGACGAATTCGAGCTTTCACACGAGAAATGCCCTTCTTCTCCACACCCAAAACGTTCACTGGCTTCCCTACTGTTTTCTTGAAAGCGTACGCGGGATGGATAAGGTTCGTCGCGCTTAGAATGCTCTTCTTCCGCACACTTGAAGTATGATGGTTTGACATAATCATTTTCATTGCTTTCAAATTGTATTGCTTTTCTTGGTAAATTAAGTTTTTACATTGTAGTAAACTCTTAATATGTATGTGTAACAAAATAAAATCAAACTATTTGGATAGTATTGTCCAAATAACAACCCAAATCAAATTATTAATTCTACTTAAAGAAAAACAATTATTATTAGAAATTTAACCCGCGCGTAGCGCGGAGAGTAACCTCTAGTATTAGAGTAATAAACATATATAATTAAGCGATTAAATTAATATTATGTAAAAATCTAATTGTTTCGCGGTATACTGTGGGTTAAATCATATGATTAAAAATAATACACTTATACAACCTTAAATACTATATAAAGTGAGCAAAATTATAAAATAAAACGAAATTTTGACTAATGTTTTTTCCTTGATACCCTTCTGCAAAAATACTTTGTTTTCTGCGATTTTCATTTTACCCTCTTTTACACAATTATAATATGTTAAATTAATTATAAGATTTGTTTTTAGGTTTGGATTCTCTATTTTACATTTAGGATATAATTTTGAGAGTGTATGGGTTAGCATTTGGAGTTTTATGTTTCATTTTGTATATTGAAAAGGATATTATTGAAAATGGACAACAAGAGAGTGTATTTTTGTAAAAGTGTACATAAAACTTATTTTAGCAAATATCCTGAAAATAAATACAACTAAAATATTAAAAACTTTAGTTACTAATAACTTATCCTGCAATGTAGCAGTCAAAATCTAGTTTCGAGTATTTATGTACGTCATGATCTATGTTACTAGGCTTTTAGCATATCTTGTGTATGTATACTTGGAAGAATTTGAAGTTGATGTGGGAAAGCCATCATTGCCCCATCAATAGCAATAGTAATCTAATCCTAAGTTAATCAATAAATTAAAATCGAGTAATTTATCAGTTTGTTCTAATCTTTAAGTAAAATATTTTAGTTTTTGTTTGATATTTTTGTGGGTTTATTTTTCATAATGTCTTTTCCATTTTACATAATATATTTAATTATTTTTTGAGTTTATGACATTCTTATATGTTTTGATCACTTGTAGTCAATTGTCTAGAGATTTTTTCTATAAGTGTTATTCAAATCTTTAGCCATATCCAGATATATTTCCAAAGATATGTTATTCAAATATTTAGTCATTTGCAGAATCTAGTTTTATTTTTTACTTTTTAAAGTTTGTGCATGATCTTATATATATTGTATCAACATGTACATAACCATTACACACATCACTTTTCATTTTGCAGATTTCATTTTGATTATATCATCAAAGATGTCAAAGACCACTATCATTGCTATCTTCATGGTAATCCTTGTTCTAGGTTCGATTCACACTTTAACATTATATAAAAATATTTAACAGTTTCTTTTATTTTCATAACAAAATATTTGAGTATCTCTATTAGGGCTCGTGCCAAAGGGGACTCAAGGACAAGAATTGTGTCATGAATATATTAATGGAGCAGTAGCATGTGAAGCACAACTATGTAGGGAGCTGTGTACTTGGAGGCACCCAGGTGGAAATGGAGCTTGTATGCCATCAAGCAAGCAATGTGTTTGCTCTTTTAGTTGCAATGCTTGATTTTTGTTTTTACTTTCTATAAACCACATATTTCTCAATACTAATAATAAAATAATTAATTTTAATAGTTTTGATGTGTATATGAAATATGATTTCAAATATTTGGCATGATCTATAAATTGGTTATATAGCATATGTGTCCTAATTTATATGTTAAATATCGACTGGTCGATCATGCATATATGTGCTGGAAATATATGATTGTCGAGTGCATAATTTTAGATTTTATAGAATAGTTTCTTGAAGATCTAATAGAAATTTGAAATTTACAGTAGGATGTCCAAATGAACTTTCAATCATATTATTCTTCTTCTTAAAAGATATGTACAACGTATGGTAAAGATTTCTTCAAGAAAACAATGAATTCAGCTTTATAATGCCCCAACCGTCACCGCTTGTGATATGCCCTATGTCTACTCCCAGCCCATGGGCCTAACTTCCTTATTTGGTTTGCCTTGTGAAATCGTGGGCTTAACCCTATTCGACAATCGATTTGCTACTTCCTAGAAGCTATAAATATTTGTTACAAACCCTATAAATCACCACATGATCTTTTTACTATGTTAGGATGGGTAAGATGGATTAGGTGGAACCCATGGCATTTTTCCTTGGTTGTCGCCTTCTGGGCTGCTTTGTTTTTAGTCGTATGGAGTACTGTTTAGAGCTAGGGTTTTCGTGGCCAAGAAAATCTTGAAGAGAAGCTTAGGTCGTGACATTAGGATTGGTATCGGTCGACACCAGCACCTACTGTAACAACCTGCCCCGTGGACCCCATGCCACACCCCGGCAACAGCTGGCGCTGCAACGTGATTAGTGGCTCAGGTTTGTGCGTGGACCATTGCAAAGGTGATGGAATAATTTTTTTTACATATGGACTATGTGTTCAGATTTTATGACGAATCTATGTTACAGGGAGATAATTGTAACGCCCATGAATTAGAATCGGCTAAGGGGCTTGGTGCTGACCAACACCAAGGGGTGTTGCTCAGCACCGTGAGCTGGATATGGTTTTGATTTGGTTCAATATCAAGTTTTCTGTGGTTTTTTAAACTAATCTTTATAAAAGGAGGACGCCTCAATCTATTTAAGGGTTCTCTTGCCATCTGTTTTCCTATTCAAGAGTGCATAAGAGAGATTTTGGTATGCATGGATGTTAGAGGGGAGAGAAGAAGGTTACAGGGATGAGAATGAAAGAAAGTTGTGTTATTGTGGCGTGAAGGAGGAGAGAGAAGCATCGTTGGTTGTGTGTGGTCTTGCTCCTTACCAAGATTTCATCCCAAATCTAGGTAAGTGGGAATTCTTAGGCTCAATTAGGGGATGATTGTTACAAAATTTTTATTGGTAAGTTTTATTAGGAGGAATCTATGGTTTGTTTCCTTGGCTATCACATTGTGGGGCTACTTGGTTTTATGGTTATATGTAGAAGCGAGAATTATGGAGAGCTAGGTTTTTATGGCTAAGAGTAGCTTGAAGAGAAGCCCCTGGTCATGACATCAGGGTTGGTGTCGCTCATTACCAACACTTACAGAGGGACTGCATAAACTAGTCTAAGATGGGTTTTTTGAGGCAACGTTTCAAGGATGATCTAGCTAAAATTTAGTGGGATGATATGTAGTACTATAGAAATAATATCTGACAATGTGTTTCTGATTGAAACGGTTAGTTCGTGAACTAACAGGGTACTAATGTGGATATTTGTCATGAATTATTGATTAGTTGCATGTTGCATTGTTGGTTGGGTAACGAGCTCGGTTTGAGATGAAGTCTTAATAGAAGTTTCCATGGATAACTGAGTTAGGTGTAGGTTGATGGATAACCAAGGTCAAGCTCCAGGCTGTAGGGTTAAAGCTAAAAAGGTGACTCGGATGGTGCCAAAGTCCATGGCTAGAGCGGAATCGAGTAGTCCACTCCATGTCTCTTGTTACTTGGTTGCGTAGGGTTGATTGGTTATTAAACTATGTACCAATAAGAGGTTTTGTTTGGAATACGCTGTCAAGCGAAGCTTGATCCTCGGGATGGGTGAGTCAAGTGTTTTGATCAGACGGATTACAAAGTGGTCCGGTAGAGGAGGAGTCAAAGTTAGCAAATGGTTGAGGCGTTTGTTAAGTTAAGTACGTTTGTATGACTATTTTTGGTTGTTGCATGGTTTGGGTTAGTTGGATCTAGATTGAACTCGTGGAAGCTTTTGTAATTAATGATGGTTGTCTCGTGAAATTTATGGAATTCTAGTGCGATCGTTTTCCGTGCGTAATGTGCAAGAATTAAGAATTCAAATTGAGGTGTTTCAGTTTTGTACTATAGCGTACGTATGCGATTCTAAGATAGCTTTTAAATGGAATACACTTGTCTAGGTCGATTAAACGATTGACATGCTAAGAAAAAACATGGAAGTGTTGTCGAGGTACGTGATCTTAAAGTGATTAGTGGCTCAGGTTTGTGTGTGGACCGTTGTAACAATGATGGGATAAGTTTCTACATATGGACTTTGTGATCAGATTTGATAAGGAATCTATGTTAGAGGGGAAAAAATTTAATGCCCATAAATTACAATCGGCTAAGGGGCTTGATGTCCCTCAACACCAAGGGATGTCGCTAAACAATGTGACTCCGACTATGGTTGTGGTTTGGTTTGTTCTCAGTTTTGTATGCTTTTTAACGGTTTCGCACAAATCCTAAACTATTCTCCATGAAAAGAGGACGTCTCAATCTATTTAGGGGCTCCCCTCCCAGCTGTTTTCCTACCCATGAGTGAAAAAGAGGATGTTAGGGAGGAGAGAAGATGGTCACAAAGGCTGGAATGAAGGAGAGTTGTGTTTTTGTGGCGTGGAAGAGGAGAGGGAAGCATCATTGGTTGTGTGTGGTCTTGCTCCTTACCAATATTTTTTTCCTAATCCAAGGTAATTGAGAATTCTTAGGGCTCATCTAGGAGATGATTGTTACGGATTTGTGATGGGTAAGTTAGATTAGGAGGAATTCATGGGTTAATTCCTTGGTGACTCCCTTATGGGGCTACTTGGTTTTGTGGTTATTTTATAGGAAGTCAGAATTGTGGAGACTTAGGGTTTTATGGGCAAGTGGAGCTTGAAGAGAAGCCCTGGTCGTGACATCAGGGTTGGTGTCGCTCGTTAATAGCCCATATAGAGGGACTGCGTAAACTGGTCTGAGATGGTTGTTTTGAGCCAACGTTTGGAGGATGATCTAGTTAAAATACAGTGGGACGATATGTGGTACTATAGGACTCATATCAAACAATGTGTTTGCGAAGTGAGCGGTTAGGTAGTGAACTAATAGAGTGTTAATGTGGAGATTTTGCATGAATTGATGATTTGTTGCAGGTTGCATTATTGGTTGGGCCAACGAGCTTGGTTTGAGCTAAAATCTTGCAAGAATTTCCATGGATCATGGATTTAGGCTTTGGTTGATGAAGAACCAAGGTGGAGCTCCATAATATTTCAAAGCCCGGCCCGGCCCTTACAAGGCTACAAGGCTTTTCAGGCTTTTTCGGGTTTTACTTACGGATAAAAAAAATCAACTTCTAAGTTCATAATAGTTTTTAAAAAAAACAATACTTAATGGTATACTATAAAAAGAATGCATCAAATTCTAAATAACTTATTAGTATTCATTAAAACTAACTTAATTTAAGAGAAAAATATGAAAACCAAATAAATTTTTTACACTTTAACCCAATAAAATATGAAACTAATATACTTTAAAGTAGATGATAGAGTCAAAATTTAATATTCTTTGATAATTTCAAAATCAAGATACTTATATATACTTAGTTGTACCTTTGTTCAGTTTTGACATATATAAATAATTGAAAATGTCATAGATAAATATTTTAAAAGTATTAAGTAAGGCTAATAAGTAAATATGAAAACTTATTCATTAATCAAATCTTCTAATTAAACTAAAATATCAAAAGTATTAAAAATATATTTGTTTAAGGGCTTTTTGGGCCGGCCCGAGATCGACCGTGTTAAGCCCAGAAAACCTTTTAACCCGAATGGGTTTAGCCCAAAAGGCCCGATTTCTTATGAACATATATATTTAAGCTCAAGCCTGATGATTTTCTGGGCCGGGTCGCCCGCAGGATTTAATCCTAATTGACATGCCTAGGTTCCAGTGAGAACATTTTCCATGTGTCATGTGCGAAGATTGAGAATTCGGGTCAGGGTGTTTCACATACCATATGTAAAACAAATTAATTAAAAACCACATGTCACATAAACCAAATACGTACAATATATTTGCACAAATGTAAAATGACAGTTTACGTAGATATTTAAATCATTTTAATTTTAATTAATAAAAAGGAAAAAAAGGAATTGTTGACTCTTTATAATATGATTTTTTCTTATTCTTCATTTCCTATTTTCACCTCCTCATCTTTCTTCTTTTAGGTGTTTATATTAACGGTGAAAAAATAGTACACGTTTCCCGTGTGATATAATTCCTTATATGTATTGTCTTTTACCTAGTAATATTCATTTGTTGATACAAACTTGTATATAAAACTGCAGAGAAAAGATTATTGAAATCAAACTAAAAGAAACACACCCAGAAGAGCACCACAGAAGCTATTATTCCAGAGATTAGGCTATCTATTTGTTAACCGAAGCCAAACAATTCAAACACTGGTCAGCTGGTATAAAAATCAGGTACACATTTGAGTGACTATAGGAGAGATCTAAGTTATATATGATTACCATACCTACTCCATATGCAACGAGTACTAGATTTCATACCTGTATTTTCTTTCACTTGTAAATCATCTTTCATTTCATTAAATGTTATTTCACTAATAATTCATTTATCATGTTGATTTTAACACTTTTTCATTAATCCTTATGATTCGATAACTGTGGGTGAAAAACAAATCTGTAATAAGAAATCTAAAATCTCTGAAAATCTCAAATCTTTATTCTGTCTGCATATGAAAGTTGTGGACCAATGAGATGTTATCGTAGCAATTGAATGAAGTATTGATGAGAAAAAAATAAAGACGAGGTTCGATTGCTTTCAAATTTTAGTGCGAAAGAAACAGAGATGAAGCGGATAAAAAAAGATGAGACTGAAGATAAGCAAGTGAACAAGAAAGAAAAGATAGAATGGAGACGAGAGATTTGTGCATATTCAGTTGGCAAATGTATCAAGGTTACTGGTGGAGGAGAAAATCGTAAATGTTACTATGAGACATTTCAGTTTCGTGGCACCCAATATAGTCTGGTGAGTTTTGTTTTGTTATAAGATTTTGGTACTTAGTTTTTAGGGATTGCAAAATTTTTATCAATTTGTATGATAAAACTAACATGGTATTTGTAATGAAAAAATTATGTTATGTTTGTTAATTTTTGTTTGTTAATTTTTTTGGTAGTAACATTTACATTAGATTGTACTCTTCTTTTTCGTAGGAGGACACAGTGCTTTTGGATCCGTATGAGTCAAAGAAAACCAACTATATCGCATTGATCAAGGTAAAGGGATGCAAGGTTCTTTTATATATAAGATTTATGTTGTTCATATCACAATCAACAATAAAAATTTATCTTTTCAATTGTTTGTTGAACAGGATATTTATGTTAAGAAAAAAGATGGATTTGTGAAGATCTTGGTGCAGTGGTTTTATCGCCAAGAAGATATTAAAATAAAACATGCTGGAAAGTGCGAATCTGGAGACTCGGAGGAAATTTTCTTCAGTTTTCATCAGGATGAGGTATTTGCTGAATCTGCGAGAAGCAAATGTCTTGTGTATTTCGTGCCAGATGACAAGCAAAGTTCAAACCTTACGAAGCCTCCTGACTTCATCGTGCAAAAGGTTTATGACAATATCAGTAAAAAGTTGAGGAAGTTCTCTGATGAAGGCTTTAGTGTGCATCAAAAGTTTGAGATTAGCACTCTCCTGGCAAAGACGAGTTCAAGAACTGGTGATTCCTCTGACATTAAGAAAGTCCCAATAGTGTCAAAGAGTGAAAGATCCGTAAGGAAAAGAGATGTCTCAGAAGCTGAGATAGCGAATTCTGAAAACAATACTGAGGTTAATTTGTTTGCTTATAAGTCGGCCAATGATTTGGACCGTGACAAGAGAGTCGGTGAGCTTTTGCAAGCACTGTTTAAGCACATATGTTGTGCAAGTAAGGAGAAGGAATATGGTATTAAGTTTGTGTCATCGGATAATGTTGTTGAGGTGGTCTTGTCTCTTGAGGAGGCTTTATATGATTCTTTTGCAGATGATATACCAAAGTATAATTACAAGTTGGCGCTTCTAATTGAGAAATTCAAGGTTAGTTTAACTTAATTCCTTCTTTTCTTCATTTTTTTTACTGTGTCTTTTTGCTTGTTTTGTCATGCATGTGTTGATGACAATTATGTTATTCAAAAATATTAAATATTGGTTACTTTAGGATGATAAAATGTTTTAAAATACGCACATCTCTATATAATATTACATGATCCAGCTAAATAAGCTTTATAGTAAGATTGTAGAACATTAGAAATTGTGTAAGGACTATTGAACTTAGCATTTATTTATTTATTTCTTCTTTAATTTTGTATTTGATTCTTTAATTGTGATATCTTATTATTTGTTTGTAGAGCTCAAAAGTATTAGTTGAAAGAATTCTCACTGGCGAATTGAAACCTGAACAAGTTACAAAGATGCAGGGCTACGAGCTAATCATGGTAATTTACCTAATTTCTTTTAATAAAACTAGAATGTTAGTATAGTGTTTATTTCTAATCACATCATATGTGATTTTGACATGTTAAAAGTGATTAAGATGAGCATTTTCTAAACAACTTTTGATGATGAAACATAGGCTGATTTCGAAGAACCAAAAACAGTGGAAGATGCTGCTAATGATGTCGAGTGGACATCAATACAGTGAATTACTAATCATCAAAGTATGTTTATTTTGTTACATTTTATATTTTCTATAATTTATTGTAGTTATTTTCTAATAATTTTTTTCTTATTTCTTACAAAAGTGGCAGAGCTCAAGGATCGTCGAAATGGGGTTAGGTAGACTTGTGCACTGTTGCAGAGCTCAAGACTCCAAGCTCATCATCATCAAAGGCTCACTCAACTACACAGTTGAATGGATCTTTTCTATTTCTTATTTCTGAACTATGTTTTTGAATTTTATTTATGTTTCTGCTATTTCAGTACTTTGGTTTATGTTTTGGATGGTTAAATTGATTTTAGGATTTTTTGAATCAAAATTATAAGAATTTTATCTGATAATTAGTATTTAATCCGTCGTTAATACTCGAAAAGTTTTACAAAAATTATTGTATTCATGAAGCTATACTCTATTGAACTATTATTAACTCAGCTTAAAATTCTAACAGGATTCATATTATACTAGGATTGGAGCCATGTTTATTTAAGCTTAGAACATATATTTAGTTGTAAAACAAATCTGAATAAAAGAACAAATAATAACAATTGGACTCAAATGAAATCATTGACTAATTGGTCGATGCTCTGCATTAAGTTGGAGTTTCTTGTTAGATATGTATCCAATTTATCCTGAAAAGATAAAATCAAAGATTCTTTACAAAAGTGAATAACATGAGAGTAAGGAAATAAGTGAAGAGCTCAAAGCAACAGATGTAGAGAAAGAGAGAAATAAAGCTACTACCTGGTACTGGGAGGACTTGGGGCATTCACAAGCAAAATGGCCTCTTCGTTTACATTTGTAGCATAAACGCTGTGAGTCTCTGCCCTGTGAAGTGCTTATTATTCTCGACGAAGTCGAGCATTCACGCGAGAAATGCCCTTCTTCTCCACACCCAAAGCGTTCACTGGCTTCCCTACTGTTTTCTTGAAAGCGTACGCGGGATGAATAAGATGCGTCGCGCTTAAAATGCTCTTCTTCCTCACACTTGAAGTATGATGGTTTGACATAATCATTTTCATTGCTTTCATCGTAGTGTCTACCACATGCCTAGAGAGACAATTATAATACTTAGATAGCTTTTTCTAACTAAAATGAATAGAGGTCATTCTGTTTAACTTATTCGACGGTGTGGCTAATTCAAAATCAGAATCTGAAAAACTTACCAGTCCGGTATGACCCCGTTGTCCACATCTGTAACAAGATACAGCCCATGACAGTGAATCACCAGGTTCGATACAACATAGATGGCCAAAGCTTTTACAGACATAACATTGTATATCCTAGCCAAAGCATATGATCAGCAAACAATGAGAAAATAAGAACAGTTGTAAGAAAGAAATCATAAGCAAAGTTACCTTCAAATCTTCTTGAGAATACTCATACTTGCACAAAACCATGTCATGTCCAAAGTCTCCACATCTTAAACATACATCTTTAGACCTGCTTTTGTACTTATTCGGACAATCTTTAGCTCGATGTCCAGCTTTTTTGCATATATAACAATCATGTCCCTGTGGAAATTAGCAAAAAATTACTCTAGCAATCCTATCCAACCAAAAAGACTAGTCCTGAAACTTCAATGTCCTACCATCAAACTTAAAAACCGCACCTTTAAACATTGCTTTGCACCATGTTCCAAACTCCCACATATAAAACAAGGCTTTCTACGCTTTATAGGACTCGGACAATTGATAGTTATATGACCTTTCTCCCCACAACTATAACAACTCACCCAACCTGCATCAGGAGGGTCAAAGTATCTTGCTCCACGCTGAAATAACACAAGAACCCAACAATATAGTCATCATCACAGACCAGTTACACAGTTTTAAGATATAAGAGTAACAAAATTCAATCAACTCACAAGAAGCTTGTTCATAACCAAATTGCTAGGTGTTGGTTCAGCAAATGTCTCAACCTCTTCATCTTTTACAATACCCTCCACCATGTTCACCTCATCTTGGTCTTTCCTCACAATGGGCTAAATCAAACAATCAAAAAGCATCAAACTTTGTTCATTCCACACAATGGGCTAAATCAAACAATCAAAAAGCATCAAACTTTGTTCATTCCACACAATGGGCTAAATCAAACAATCAAAAAGCATCAAACTTTGTTCATTCCACACAATGGGCTAAATCAAACAATCAAAAAGCATCAAACTTTGTTATTTCCACACAATGGGCTAAATCAAAAGATCAAAAAGCTTCAAACTTTGACTAATCTAAAGCTATGATAGAGCAAGAGAAACGTTCCTACTTACAATTTCATGAGCAGCTTCTAACTTCTTTCTCTTCTTCATCTTCTTACAACTCTCAGAGCTTTTAATCTTAGATGTTCCTCCATTAACTATCACAGTACTAACTACACCAGAATCAACATTGTTCCCAGTGTCACGCCTCGATGAAGCTTTCTCTAATATCTTCAAGCTAAGATCTTCATTACCCTCATCATCATCTGTTACTGAATCTTCTCTGTTCTCGTCTTCTCCGTCATCAAAAACAAAGCTTTTACCTTTACGCTTCGGCATGACTAAGTGATTAAACCCTTAATTCCAAATTTCTAAACCTAGAAATCGGATTGAGAAAAATTTTCGAATGATTTGGTTCAGAAGTTTTGATTTCTTTGTTCTTTTTGTTTTCTATGATACGGCGTAGGTTTTTTATTTATCGGGTTGGTATACTATATGGTTTAATTACAAGCAAATTTCAATTTGACAAGAACCGGATAAGTCAAGTCTTAACCGGTTTACTATAACCGGATATATATATTTTTTTTTTTTTACCAACTAACCAGATAAATTTCAGACATGTGTTTATAGTCATGTCTATGCAGATTTTTTTAAACCATGTGTAATTAATTTTGTGATGAAACATTTTGTTACATTATAGAGTGTTTTATGTCTTGTAGGTTGCAAATAGAGAGGGAAAGTCTCAGAAGCAAAAATTTTGATCAATAATGCCACACTTCTGTTTTGACATTTTATTTAAATGAAAATCAATACCAGTGTTTAAAAAATCGGATATTATCGGTCCAAACACACTATCCGATTCATATTCACTTAAACAGATTATCTGATCTAATAATTTTTGGTTTTAACCGATTTAACATCAGTTGTAAAAATAGAAACAATAATTAGAAACGTTAAAGTTAAAAAAGAAAATTAGAATTGTCGGTCGTTCTCTTCTCCGCTCTTCTCTTCTCGATTTCTCCAACAACAGCGACTCTGTCGAATTCGTTTCTTATTCACTTTCTTCGATGATTGATCTCCTCCTTCGACTACGCTCCTATGTGGTATATGTTGTCTCCTCGAAAACCGTCAAATGGTCTCCTCGCTTCGACTATATAACATAAGGAATATGTCATGAAGTTAGTCAATTATTTTTTATTCTACTAACTAGATATGATTATATTTCGCCTGCTAAATTAAATTTGCACTACGGTGCATTCCTATCGGAACGACCGGATCAACCTTCAAGATTTAAAAGAAAGAAAAGAATAAAGAGTGAAGGACAATCGTTCCTCCTAAACTCTCTCTTCTCTCTCCTAAACTCTCTCAATCACATATCCAGATCTGCTCTGGTGGTCTTGCTTTGCATCCCCTTTGGTTGCTAGTGATTGCTTAGGTGGACTAGATCTCTTTTCCGTTGCCTTAGGATTGGATCTCTCTTTCATTGACGTGGATTCAGATCTGCAGTGCCGGTAGAAGTGTGTTGCTTTGGTGCCTCCGGTTTGAAGACGCCGGTGGGTGTAGCGGCTCTCTCATGGCTCAACCGTCGTCTCGACAATGGATGTATGGCGGAAGTCAATGAAGGAGAGGGTGGGTTGCTGAATCGCCTTGGAGGTCAACACTTGCTGGCTGTCATGGATTCAAGGCGTCTGGGTTTTCGTTGAGCCATCGGCCCCAGTTGCCGCCGTGACTTGCTTCATGTGGGCCGGTTAGAAGAGATTTAGTTCGGCGAGTTGGTGTTGCGTCAAAACTGGGAAACTGAGGTTATATCCGAAGTTGTCGGCTTGCTTGGTCAAGGAGCTGTCAACAACGAGCTGCATTGTTGGAGTTTGGTCATGTCGGAAAATTTGTGGAGGGTTGGTGGATCGAGGGAAAAGGAACGGAATGGGGGGTCAGATGCTTCTTGCCTGTTTACTAGATACTTTGTTTCGCCGCAAAGCGGTGGATCTCGCATTCGCCGTGGTTCATGACATGAGTTTCTGCAACGCGGTGTCAATACGATATGAGTCTCTTTCTCAGCGATAGCGAAAGCTAATTTGTATTTGCCTTTGTTTTCATTTGTAACTTAAGCCACAGCCCAATTAGGGGTATCTATATATATAAAGTTAACTTTTTCTCTCTTCTCCTTAGCCACATCATCATTCACCTCATTTTATTATTTAATTTTTAAAATTAATTATACCATTTTATCATTTAATTTTAATATTTAAACCTATGTAAATAAGTTTTTCCAAAATGAATATATAAGGTCTTTTTTTTATATTATACATTATAAAACTAAAAAAGATAATTGATTAAGAGTTAAAAAAAACTTACTAATTATTGATTATACTAACAAATATATAAATAATAGATTATAGTTTTTAGTGAATGTTTAATATATATATATATATATGATTATATTTACACAATATAAACCTAAACATAATGGGATTTAATGGGAGTAAAACAAAAAGTAAGAAATTTTGAGAATATAAATCTATCTAATTTATGTCTCAAAACATTTTCTAACATAAGTGAGATAGGTCGGACCGAAACATGAATTCTTATTTTTTATAAACATATAAAAAGGTAAAAATAAAAATAATATTTCCTTAAAAATTTCCAATATGAATTTAACTATATGTTTCCAATACAACACATATGTTAAACTAATAAACAAAATAAAAAATTAACTATATTTCATAAAAATTGAAAAATTAAAATTAAAAACATTATTAAATGAAATAAACTAAATATAAAGTAAATTATACTAATATGTTAAATTTAAAAATTGTTCCATATGAAAAACAAAAAAAAGCCCGCACAGCAGTGGTCCAGTGGTAAGGGAAAATTGGGGAAAGGTTGGAAGGAACTAACCCAGGTTCGATCCACCCTGAAAACAAAAATCATTGTTGTGTGGGAAGTCTGTCAGTTGGGCCTTGGCCCAATTGGTTACCTGGTAGTCAGAAATGCAGGCGGCCTGACTACTCCCTGGCATTAGTCAGAAAGCATTCCAAACTCGGGATAGACAGTGTGGTGGCCCTTTGGGGAGAAGTCCACTCTGAAGCACTTCGGTGCGTTTCTACCGGGGCTGACCGGATCAGCCGATAGGGTTTATCAAAAAAAAAAAAAAAAAAAAAAACAAAAAAAATCTATGTAACATAAAATCAGAAACAAATATATAATAGTATAAAAATGATCATTACGAGATATAATTACGACAAATCCAAAAAAGAAAAACATAAAACAAAAAAATAAATTATGACAATATATAAAGAGATAATGTAAACAATTAAAAATACAACAATCCGCCCGAAACCCACAAATCATGTTCAAATTTCATGCCAACATATAAAAGGCACAAAATATTAACATCTAGATCTATATTTGGTGGAAACCCTAATAGCACACGTTTCTCAATGATTTTTCACCGCACTTCCGTTTACGCCCACACTTCGACTTATACTATACACACTTAATTTCTCAAAAACTAATGAAGCTAAAACTCAATAGTTTTTCTATAAAAACACAATCTAAGTTTTAAAAAAGTAAAGTATGGTATAGTGAAAAAAAGAAGTAGAAAATAAAATACGAACCAATTACTCATAAACAACATAATAAACTCCCGCGCATAGCGCGGACAACCGACTAGTAATCAATAAAAAGGTCCGTTTTAAAAAAAAAAAAAAGATAAAGAACCTTCAAGATTTATTAAAAAAAAAATTATATGTTTTATTGTCTCTCTTTTCTTCCCCACGGTCTTCAATGCTTTCAATTTTCTTCTTCTTTTCTTCAGTTGTTTGATTTCTCAGTTTCTTAAAAATAACAAAAAGCATTGCAAGTTAAGAACGTGCCTGAAAATGATATGTCTTGAAACTTTCCTTTTGAAATATGATGGGAGTGGTTAAGATAACGTGAGATTCATACTACGTAGATGCATGCATTTACTCACCTAATCTTGATTTCAATTAACAAGAAGAAAATGTCTCTCTAAGTACCAAAAAGATCAAAGAAATCAAAAAAACAAAGGAAAAGAAAAGAACAAGTGTCTTTGGAGTCTGTCTTGGACTAGCTAGTGGTGATAAGAGAGGTAAAGCTATATCTTTGAGATATGAGTTTACTTCTCATAGTCTTACAAATAGATATTGAGAGACCCACACATTAGAAAAGAGTCGTTGTAATACTCAAAAGGGTTAGTGGGGATGTCGACGCAAAGTCTTTAGTCAACCAACCAAAGCATATAAAAAGAAGAAGATCATATCTCACATGGGGCCTTTGTAATCCCCTCAAAGCTTTAGATTGATACTTTCTCTCATTTGTCTTTTGAAAATCAATGTATCTGGTTCTCTTACTCTTTTTCATTTTCTTTTATTGATATGATATATTATTGGTTGTTTCTATGATCGTATATTATATGTACAATAAATATTGAATTTTTATCAAATTTTCTTGAGCAAAAATGACATTTTCATAGAATGTCTTCTAGTTTTCTCATATTTTTTTCTAATACATCTTTTGTTATTTTCTGCAATGGATTATAAACATATCGTAGGCTTAATCAAATTTGAACTAGTTATCAATTGATAAAAAAGATTTCAGTTTGTCACATACTAAATAGACCGTTCGTCAATCGATCAAGTCGGACTCAAGTGAAACAAAAGCACCCGTTCAACGAACATGCATCTTTTTGTGACTATATATGCTACCTAAGATCGTTTAGTACATTGTCGATCCAATTCACGCAGAGATAAATAAAATGTAACATTCTAATGAATGTTTGCAATGTAACAAATTCAACCTAGCGAACTAATGGAGTGCACGGAAGCAATGATAATCAACTTAATCAATAGATCGATCCGAAAAATTGATAAAGACATGTTTTGAAGCCGTCAAGAATTTGATAGATTTACGGAAAATATAAAATAAATAAAAAAAACTCTTATTTTTAATCAAATCTTAAAATCAACAATTGAACGAATTAGTTAACCATAAATAAACTAATAATATTTATATTTTAAAAATAAAAATCTAGAACACCTATAATTTTTTTTTTATCAAAATAAGGTAAACGTAAATACATAGATAAAATACAAAGAACTAATATTTATCCAAGATCAAAGTTGTATCACTAACGCATATTGCCACATCTACTTTATTTTCTACATAAATAAAATCTAAAAACGGTAATTTTGTGCATGAATGATTTCATAAAAAATGAAAAATTGGTTAATTATAGGCGTCAATATCTATATGCACTATGCAGCCTTTTTATATATAGCTACTTCAGAATTGGTTCTCCTCAAAACACTACAAGAAAACACGCGTATTGCGAGGAAAATTTTCTAGGGAAACAATGCCTAGCAAATTTGCGACGTTATACCTAGACTTTTGCGAGCAACTCGACGCGCCTCGTAGAATACTCGCAAGTTT